ATCTGGATCATGTGATCCAATATGTTCTGTTGATGAAACAAGTTCACGTGATTTGGAGAGCACTTACCAGCCAAAGACCGATTTATTGAAAACTCTTGCAGTTCTTGCAGCTGCAGCAGCAGGCACACTGGCAATTAACCAATCCTGGGTTGCTGCCAATCAGGTTTATATTTGGTTGTTTTGTTGTGCAATTCTTTCTTATGCTGGTTTTCAGATGTTTACTTGCCTTTGACCAGAATTTCCTTATGTTATCTCAATTATGACAAAAGACCTTCTTTTATTCCCTTTTTTTTAAAAAGTAAAGAAACTTTATTCTTATTAGTTAGTTCAGATGCTTCTACAAATTTAGCTGCCTAACTAACTTGCAGCACCTTTATTCTTACACAGGATCTTGCCATGGCATTGCTTTTTGGAATAGGATATGCAGGTATAATCTTTGAGGAGTCTCTAGCCTTCAACAAAAGTGGAGTAGGATTATTGATGGCCGTGAGTTTATGGATAGTTCGAAGCATTGGGGTAAGTTCTCAGATGGCTGACATGATTTGAGTTTCTTAACTGACCCTTCTTTTGGTATTTTGCCCATGAATTATTGGATTGAATAGAAGTTAGGACCAGGACTTATGATGTACACATAGGCTATTAGTGTATCTGGCACCTTGTATAAGCACTATGATCTTAGATTCAAAACATTCCCATATAGCTTGCAAGTTGATTGCAACCTGCCTATCGTCAAGTGTAAAAGTTAGGCCTCTCTTGATCTCTCACATAGAGCAACAGATTCATAGTTAGCAGTCCTCTGTGTTTGAGATTTATTATGTTGCAAGGCATATGGGCCTCTAAATCGAATTCCTGCTCTATTTTTTGGTGACTAATGATTCGGCTTTCTATGAATTACTTATTGCTTGGTTTTTTTTGTTTACAAAGTTTACATTTTAAATTGAGGGAAAAAGGAAGAAAAAAACACCATCCCATGATTTAATGTGAATATTAAAACCCATGAAATTTAAAAGGTTATACTTTAATATATCTTCTTTTTTATAATTGAGCCTAAGACCACAAATCATCAAATAAGAAATGTCTTATAGGCCTTACATATGTATGTAATGTCTTAGTCTCTTGATTGTTTTTCATTTTTCGTAGCCCTGTAACTTTTTTACTTGCAAAAAATAAATAATTTCTTGCACCGAACAATTTATCTGGGTTCCATTAATGAAAATGATTTTTGTTTGTGTTTTGTTTTGTGATGTATTAACTGTATGGTTAATTATTTGTGCAGAAAACTATACATTTTAGGTTAGCAAATGTGTCCAATGGGCGAAGAACCAAGGGAGACCCTTAAACTCTAAATGAAATAATGAATCAATGAGAAAAGGGCCTAAAGATGATATTTTCTTTTAGAGTTGACTGGTCATTATTCTCATGTTAGAAGATGATAATACAAGGTAGTTAAGTCATAAGTTTAGAGTGTCAGGGACTTTTCTTTTTTACTTTAAGCAATGGGGTTACTTTTAACATTTTCCCTTTAACCTACTATTCTTTTTCAGTGCAGCCTTTAAATGATTATTACAATCTGTAAGGGTAGTGCATGCTAGCACTGGCTGCATTTTTGGAATTCTATCTTGGTTTAGTTACACTATGACTGCATTGTACTAATTGTTGCACTTGGACCATGTGACTTTCTTTTGTAGGCTCCTTCAACTGACATTGCTGTTTCAGAGCTGCAACATGCATCTGCAGAAGTCAGTGAAATAGTTTTTTTCTTGCTTGGGGCAATGACAATAGTAGAGATAGTTGATGCTCATCAAGGATTTAAGCTGGTTACTGACATCATAACCACTAGAAAACCACGAACTTTACTCTGGGTGGTGAGCTGTCTTTTTGCTGGCAGGTTTTATTTACAATATTATCACTTGCTAAGAGTACTAATCTTTTTATTAAAATTAAGCAACATGGTGGGGCTTGCCAGTGTAAGGCTGCTATGTACTGTTTTACCATCTGTGGTGAATTTCCCTAGATGGCCAACCAGAGTCTATGAGAGCAATAGATAGATGGATACATACTTAGATGACTCATATGTGCTCTTCTGTTTTTAAGACAAGAATATCTCATAGCAGTATTTACCCGTGCACCCCACAAGGAACATTTATTTCTTGGGCCCTGGTCCCATAGGTTAGCAAATGTATACAGTATCTGAGTTTAGATCCCATCTTAGTTTGTTCCCTCTACTGTTGGCTAAAGCTGTCTGAGTCCAACATTATGAGGGATAGAAGAATAGATGAATATTCAACGATATTATTCGTGAGAATGCAGTAAGTTTATATACAATAGAATAAAAATAGAATCCTAAGATTTATTTCCTTGATAAACATAAGTTTTACCAGTTGAATAATGCCTTAACTAACTAGTAGATCAGATGCACATTAATCTGAGGACCAAACTTGTTAATACTAAAATTGCTTCCTGTTGACCCATTACACCGTCTTAAACATCATTGCCTTTTCTTACTTGTCATGACTACATAGCTTGACAGCACTGAGTTGTCTACTATGTTACTCATAAAAATAAGCATAAGCAATAGGTGTATAATGGTTCCCAGTAAGAACATATCAAATAAAGGGTGATCGTCCAAGCTACTATCTTGCCAACACATGAATTGGACTTGGTCCTAGACTTTAGCAATTTTAGTTAACATAAACCTACTAAAGAAAATCCAAAAGTATAGAAGAATGTAGAAAATCACATTAGCTCTCTCTTTTATATGTTTGATGGAATATTCATTCTCTTCTAGTTTTACTCTCTACTCCCATTTATTCTTCTCCTTTTAAGGTTCTATTTAATTTCTATTTTTTTCAAAATTTTAGATAACACAGTGTTATCATATTGATATTATGTTTAATAAATTAATGGTGTTTCTGCAGGTTGGTTTTGTTACATTTTTCCTTAGTTCTATCCTTGACAACCTGACATCAACAATAGTCATGGTTTCTTTGTTGAGAAAACTAGTGCCTCCATCTGAATATCGCAAGTACGTTCTGGAACTAATAAATTTAATGAATAAAAATAGATTATGTTTCTGTTCTTGAGAAGCTACACAAGTTGATGAAGAATAATTATAGTCTATGGTGAGTGGGAGAGTTCTGGTTTTGTTTAAACTGTTTGTTGGCTGCTTGTTGTCTTACACATCTAAAATACAGTCAAATCTTTGCTAAACCTCTAAGTTGCTTTTCTGAAAAAGATTTTCATAGGCTGGCTATGTCACATTTATTTGAATTGAATTATAGGATTCTAGGAGCTGTTGTTGTGATAGCAGCAAATGCTGGTGGTGCTTGGACTCCGATTGGCGATGTTACCACTACTATGCTATGGATACACGGTCAAATATCCACATTGCCAACAATGAAGGTGTTTTTATGATCCTCTAAGCTCAATTTGCTTTCAAATTGGCTTTTACACTCATTTTGGATATCTATTATTTGGTGTTTTTTGCCTGGTACACATTGATGTCTATCTTTTATACATTGATCAGTGCTACAAGGTAGTATTTGTGTTGCTACTTTCCTTGCTTATAATTTCATCCAAATGTTCTGTTGAGTATGACTGACATATGCACCTGAGATTCTGCATCTGCATGGTTTAGAAACCATCTGTTTTTCTGTGTGAGTCTGTGCATCAATGCGCGTGTGCATGTTGTTTTCTCCACATTTGTATATGTCTGCAACAGGCTACCAAGAAGCAAGATGCAACGATGCCCTAGTATGTCTTAATATGGGAAACAAAGGATTGTTAAGTGGCTGGGATTTCACTATATTAGTAATCATTGGGCTAATTTTTCTTTAATTTCCCCTAGACAACTTCAAAATTTCCATTGAAGTTCAATTGCAAAACTAATGGATATAATTATGCAGATCATTTCAACTATTATATTCATTATCCAACTAATCTTTCATTGTTTGTTCCTGGTGGATTGTTCTGCTGGAGCCAAATCCCTCCCATATTTCACTTTGTTTATATTATACAATGTTACCATATACAGAAACACTTAATTTCTTTTGTTAGCCTTATGCTCTTTTAGTGTTTCAGCTTTCACCTAGCTCCCAACTGCTTAAACGTCCTAGCTTCTCCCTGTTGGTTAAAAGGTTTTAAATTAAACTGAAATATTAATTGTAACTCTGTTCAAGAAATTACTTTAAGCTCAACTCAGCTGTTTTCCTATAAATTGGTACTTTGCATAAGTTCTGATCTTTTTAAAAGTGACCAGAAAAGTTTAGAAATTCTCTCAGACAAGCAGTCCTAAATGATAGGTTTAGTAGACTTGAAATATAGATGTCTACTAACAGAGTCATGCTTAGTGTCCAGAAGTAAAGAGCTCAAAGTGTCACACTCCACCTACATATATATATATATATATATATATATTTTGTAACGCTAGGCAAAGGAGTTCATTTCATTAATTTTGATTTCTTTTCTGACAGAATTTAATTGTACCTTCAGCTGTTTCTCTTGCTGTTCCTCTGGCTCTAATGTCTCTTACCAGGTACTTGCGTCACTAAAAGAGAGTTGGAAGATTTAAATTTTAAGATGTCATGTTTTAACTTCAATCCAAATGAATAATGAGTTTTTCCTTTTTCATTCAGTGAAGTTAATGGAAAGGGACAGGATTCTCCCAATGTTTTGGCATCTGAACAGATGGCTCCCCGAGGAAAACTTGTTTTCTCTGTGGGAATTGGAGCTTTGATTTTTGTTCCAGTGTTCAAGGCCCTAACGGGTTTGCCTCCATACATGGGTATGCTACTTGGACTGGGTGTCCTTTGGATTCTGACAGATGCTATTCATTATGGTGAATCAGAAAGGCAGAAGTTAAAAGTTCCTCAAGCTTTATCACGCATTGACACTCAAGGAGCACTTTTCTTCCTCGGTATCCTTTTGTCAGTGAGCAGGTATAGACACAAGATAAAACTGCCCATCTTTTTCTGGTTCTGTTCTCTGCATGGTGACTGTTTTAGTTTAGATTGACCATATTAGAAGTTTTTTCTTTGGAGTTCTCTCCAAATCCAAATTTTACTGGCTGGTATAAACACATTATTTCTGCAATTTTGAACATCAATTCTGGAATACATGCATGACTCGTGTAGTTTTGACCATTTCACACAAAACCTTGTCTACAAATTTAGAGATGATTCTTCATTCTTCATTTTTAAATCTTGCCATGGTTTTATACCAATGATTAATTTGAATTTTTCTTCCATAGCCTGGAAGCAGCAGGTATTCTCCGGGAGTTAGCAAACTACCTCGATGCTCATATTCCTAATATTGAACTGATCGCAAGTTCCATAGGAGTTGTATCAGCAATTATAGACAATGTCCCCCTGGTTGCAGCAACAATGGGGATGTATAATCTCACCTCATTCCCCCAGGATTCAGAGTTTTGGCAACTTGTTGCATATTGTGCTGGTACCGGTGGATCCATGCTAGTTATCGGTTCTGCAGCAGGTGTTGCCTACATGGGAATGGAGAAGGTTGATTTCTTCTGGTATCTGCGGAAGGTAATTCCAATCCTCGACCAAACATCTTCTGAGAAATATCAATTAAGGTTCATGATGAAATTGTTCTTCTGGTTGCAGGTGAGTGGTTTTGCTTTCGCCGGTTATGCTGCTGGCATTGCTGCCTACTTAGCTGTTATTAACCTCCATATCTCCCTGCCCTCAACAATAGCTCAGGTCCCTTCCCTTCTCGGTTCATAAATTGTAGCAGTTCGCGCTTTTGATTGGAATTTTTGCGGCTCCCTGCATTGTATCAATTGCAGCAAAAGTTGCAGGGATATCCAATCATAATGTACACCTTCAAAGAACGACGGAAATTTTGGAGCAGGGACCAAAGTGCCTAAAAAATAAAGGTTGAATAGGTTTAAACTCCAACCTCAACCGTCAAGAATGACAAGAAATAACATTTACGTGTAGTACAATTATGATTTTATTCTATCATCAAGGTTTAAAGAGCAAAATAAACACTAAAATAAAGATGATCAAAATTGAGGGATACAATGTAACAAAATACCCATCCAAGAGGGAAAATGCCACGGTAATGATACAGACACTACAACTTGAGAAAGACAAACTCTTCAATGGCAGGAACATCCCCAATCTTCTTCAGAGCTTCCTTGCTTGGTGGCTCATCCACACCTATAGCCATCACAGCTTGCTTCCGTGGAGCAATCCTCCCAACACTCATAAAACTAACATTAACATTCTCATCTCCCAAAATGTTTCCTACTTTTCCGATCATACCAGGTTGATCAACTTGTCTGCAGAGTATGATGCTACCTTCCAAGCTGACATCCACATCAAATGATCCAACCTTGCTCAAATAGGGAATTCCATCCTTCACCTGTCCCTCAACCCTGATCTCCCCAGTCTCTGACATAGCACTGGCAAATTTTGATTCTACATTGGCAATTTGAACTTGGATGGACTCAAGTGGATTCTCAGGTGAACCATCTAGGATGATGCGTTCTTCTGTTATCCTAAGTCCTCTCTGCTTGGCAGTATAATCAGCATTAACCAAGTTCACAAAAACACTAGATATCGGCTCAATTAGACCCTTTGTGATCATTGCACGAAGCAACCTAGTGTCAAGATCATCAGGAGCTCTAGAGGAAGCATATGAAACTTTCACAGTTTTCACGCCAAGTCCTCCTGCTACTAATTGGACAGCCAACCTCCCAAGCTTCTCAGCAAGTTCAACAAATGGCTTCAGTTCTGTTAGAACCTGCGATTGTAAAATACAATGGAAAGGTTAAACCTCATACTACTGACATATTTGTTCCACCATCCAAATGTTCAAATAATATGCAATAGAACAAGTGGCCAAGCTGAAGCCTTTGAAAAAGTGATCATCATTAAGCAAAAGACATTCAAAAATATTTATATTGAAATTAGCACTTGGAAAAGACAAATAATACTCTTTGAATGCATTGCCATGAATCAAAACGACATTGCATTATTTATATAATTCTGGTAGTCCAATGATCCAGTATGGCAATAAAAAGTGGGAAATGATACTGGATTATCTACACTTCTATAATAAATATCAGGAAAGCACCAAACGAAGAAAGAAAGAAAGAAAG